GAATGAGGATAAAAAGGCAATATGGTGTACACACACAGAGTCTGATACTGCATTTTCAACTTGTGAGTAAAATATTAAATGTACAAAGATGGCAATATTGAAATTTATAAAACACAAACATAATGATTTGTTTTACTTGTGCATTAATCTCATCTTTCAGAGTTCTTTTTTTTTTAAAAACCAAATGTTGCTGAAACTGGTGATTAAAGCCAGTGAAACTATAAGCAGAAGGAATGGAAAGTGGCAGGCAGACACAGGCAACACAACTGTGTATGCCTTAAAGAGAACAGTCTCAAAGATCTTTTGGTGTTATGGAAATTGAAAAAGGCAATTGAAGTTTATCCAGCAGATAACATTGTCCAGTCTTCCTCCTCACCAGAAGCTCAAAGAAAGATTTTAGCCAGTACTGCAGGACCTAACTGGTTTCGCTCTTTTTGGAGCTCATCAGCTGCAGGTAACGGCTCAAAAACCAAAATGCATGCAGACAAACACAAATAGAGCAGGACATTTTGCTAAAGGAAGAAGTCTTCTGCATTGTAAAGCATGCTTTTATATTATAAACACATTTTTTCTAAATGGCTGCCTCTTATGTCTTGAATGAAAAGTGACAGCAAAGCTGTTATTTCACACCAGAAATTAAGAGTATTTTGCTAAAAATCAAAGATTATTTTCCTCCCTAAAAATTGTCATGCTATCTTTATTCTACTAACTGACAGAAAAATATGTTTAGTACTGTTGTTTTGGGTAACCTAACCATGTTAAATATTTGAATATAGGTCCTATCCAGTTAAGGCCATCTTAACTTAGAAGTATTACAAACAGTTAACAAATACACCAGGAAACAAAATGTTTCACTCTCTATGAGAACAGCAATGAAAGTCCTGTTAATCTCTCCTCGACTTCATTTAATCTTAGAATTTATCAACAGAAGATAAAGTCAGAAGATAACATACTAAGGTTTAGTGGAGTCAGATGAAGTTTCAAATGATGGTGCACATCTGTTAAGAACTTTAAAAACTTGCAGTAATTAACAAGTAAGGCCAAGATTTTCCTCAGTTATGTAAACCAGTAAAGAAGTGATAACACTTGTACAGTAAGGTACAACAAAATCACTGGAACTCAAATTTTGGCAAGATCATTGAGCGTTCCATTAACCTTCTTTGAACAGTAGAGAATAGAGACAAAAAGGACCAGAAGATGACAATAATATTAGCTACAATGTGTAGTATATGGTCAGAGTCCACTCTGAATTCGTTCAGTAGTACTTCCAGAGCCTACACACAGCCATGTGCCTTAGGAGTTCATTGAAACTGTTTTGGAACCTTTTCCTAACCGATGTCCTAAACAGCTCCTTGAGTTACCATCTATTGTCTCTGAGTAATCCACACAAACAATTAGAGAAGAGCTAAAAACTGCTGACCGCATTTTTCAGAAGGGGTAATTAGTAGCCAGCATTCACTAAAACCTCAGCAGAAAGCAGGATCATATGACCCTAGAAGATAAAACAAGTGAATACTGTAGCACAGTGAATACTTTTCTGTATCCCTACTACAGCACTTGAAGCTGCAGGCACTGCATTTGAAGTTTCTGTATTTAAAAACTGTAAGAAAACAAAGTCAGATTAAGCTATACAGTGCTCAAATCTGTGAGAGCAAAAATACCTTTCAACAGTCCAAGGACATCAAAAGTATTTACTACTGTGTGTCAGAAATAGTTTTAAGAGCAGAAGCTAAGTAACTGGCAACATTTCCAATTACATTTTGACTGCATGGCAGATGTTAACAGTGCTCAGCTGCAGCAAAGCTCTCACAATGCCAATTAACTAGAGAAGTTTGAATGTCTTATTTAGTACACATGAAATAACTGAAGTTCTTAATGTGCAGAGAGGTGAACTCACAGTATGCAGAGACTCAAGAGCTGCAATCTAATGGAAATTTTAATACTACCCTTTCCATGCACAGAAAAAAGAAAAGTGATCTTAAATGCAATAATAAAGCCTTTACAGCTTATTTCAAGCTTTATAAACTATTTTCAGGTACTCTTCCAAGCATGTATTCCATGTGGTCTTTTTAAAAAAAAAAAAGTGAACGTCAACTTTACACAAAACTTTTAAAAATAGGAAACTCAGAAAATCCTACATACAATCCATACAGTCTCCACTTCTTTTTTCTTCTTCCTTTGACTATTACCTACCTTCTTTTTAGAGGAAGATGAACAGGATAGCAGAAAGCTGGAAGAAGTAGTGAAAGATAAGAGTTGAGATGCATAGAACTAGAGAAAAAATGAAGATGACAAAATGAGTATCTGAGAAGCAGAAGCTGGAAAAAAGGACTACCACAATAAAATCTTTCAAAAGAAGGCAAATAAAGTACATTTCAGTAACACTAAAAAATACTCAGCAAGCTGTGTTAATTTTTTAAATTTCTGTATGCAGTGCTACTTGAAAATAAAAAAAATATTAATAGGACACACAATCTTCAATGCACTGATCAAAAATGAATAGCTTATTACAACATGATTCATTTCTAAAATGTGCAAAATCTCCAAATTAGTAGAATCACAAGCTTCATAAATATTTACAGTAAAAGTAATCCAGAAACATATGATCAGCAGAAAAAGCATTTTCAATTAATCTTGTGAAAACCTAGCACATCAACGCTAAAGAGATCCCGGTACTGTACAACCTGGGACTCCGCTTAGCAGCTTCAAACTTTGTGACACCTCCTGCTTGGAGTTTCGGGTTTTTTCACTGCTCTGAACCCTATGCCCTACCCTTGAAGACTTACCTCATTCTTCATGCTCACTAACTTAGCAGGAAGTTGAGGGGTAACTCATGAAATTGCGTCCATAATCTCAAAAGATTACAGAAAAGTACTATGCACAGTTCAGTCAACTATTTTAAGAAGCTTGTGAAAATCCTCAGGAAATCCTTCTGTGAGTATATAAGTAAGCTATGAAAGTTGGTAAGGTATGAGAGTGTTTACAAAAAGGGAATTATACTTTTATATTCTTAATTCAGCTAGCTTTTACTTACATGTCATGTACTTAGATATTCAATACCTCAATAACAGACTTGAGAGTCAATGAACAAGCACTATGATCTATATTGTAAACTAATTCTCAAATTGGATCCTCATTTTTAGTGAATGAAGTATGAATTCTTAAACACAAACGCAAACACAGTATGTATGACATTGCATTTATGTGATTCACAGCCTTTTTCTGATCTTATGTCACCTCTTTCAGTTTTAACTACTCACTCCCTTCCCAGTTGTTCAGTTTCTTTCCCAGCCAACCCAACTGAGTACAAAGTATGGTACCGGTCACAGACACAGAAGCTACTTAGAGACTACAGAGGGAGCAGGACACATTCACCAAGGCACCAAGAAAAATTTTTTTTAAGAAAAGGAGAAAGAATGACTAGGGTGTGAAAAAGTTCAGGTTCCCTCCAGAAGTATTTTTTTGAATCTCCTATCTTAGGCAAAACTTCCTTGAATTTTATATAACCAATGGGTCTCTTCAGAGCATTCTAAGTACTATTTTTCATGAGTACCTGTAAGCCTAGATACATAGGAAAACCCATTGTCATACAAAATTCTATAATAACTGAAGATCTACCACGTCAGATACTTAATTTCTCTCTAACACAGTATCTGCATCTACTACTCCTAGTGCTCATTAAAAAAGTTCTTTCCTTCTTCACCAACCAGAAGACTGATTCCTTCTTCCATCATTTTTCTCCCTCTCCTCTTTTAGTGTTGCAGAGATAGATAGAAAGAGTTAAGGTTTTCTGTACAATAACAGCAAAATCACTCTTGAATAAGAGTGAGGGACCCGCTTTCCAAAATTCCAGATAAAAACTGGAAAAAGAAGAACTAGGAGAAGTAAATAAGATGACTGTCACCGTTTTGTAGTCATTCTTTAATCTCTTACCTTTCCTCTCCCGTTCTCCTTCAACCCATATTGGCCAACCTCCTACAGCAATGCAGAAATCCAGAAAAAAAGAAGGAAAGAGACCAGCATAATAGAGGAGAAGCTTACAGATGTTGACAGTATAGCATATCATAGCATGAGAGGAGACAGAACTACTTAAAATGAAAATTTGTTTTTAAGAGAACAAGCTATGGTAACTTCAACAGTGAAGAGTCTAGGAAAATACTCTGTAGATTGTTTAGATAAAAGGACCAAAGGGCGAAAAAAATGAATTTGATGTTTCCTCAAAAAACAGGAAACCTGCTACACTTCTGCCCAAATCAAGAGAACAGAGAATTGTCTGCTATCCTGAACTGTTGATTATGAGCAGAATTTATGCAGGACTACCTAATTCAAGGCACAAGGAAATGAGATGAAAGGGGAGAGGAGGAATCTGGCTTTTAATTAAGAAACAGATTGAAAGAAAAGAAGTCCTAGCAGAATAACATTTCTACAAAATGTGTTAAAAAATATAGGCAAAGGCAGATTTCTGAAAATATCCTGATGATTAATATTAGGACCAGAACAGTAAAAATAATTGCAAGCATTCATAATTTCACTGATGTTACAAAAAATTATTCATTTGAAATGATTTAAATTAGGATAGGATACTTCAAAGGTTATTCTTTCCTGAGTTTATTTCTTTAGGTCACTTCTAAGCTGACTCTCCCACTATAGAAGCCGAAATGTTTCTGACGGAATGAATGCTCACAATGAACGCTGATTTTCATCAGAACTCCTATGAAACAAACTTTTTTGGAATCCATGTCTCCATTTTGAAAGTTGCATCTTTTTCATTCAAATTAAGATACATGCAAGTCTAAAAAAAGACAAGCTCTTTTTACAGAAAATGATTGTACTTTCACAAATACTGTAGAGAAAGATAGTTTACATTTGGATAAAAATGACTATATCCAGAAATATGACCATAAGAAGACTGGACTTTCCCTCTTCTACAGGATACTTTTTACAGAATTCATATAACAGTTGATTTTTAATAAGATATATCCAGACACATACACACATACCTCGTATTCCTTCCTGCAGACCTTTAAAACATCATTCTTTGCAGAAGCCTGAAAGACAGAAAAATTTCTCCATTTGCAGTAGAAAATAATAAAATTATGTTGCAAAATAAACATGATTCTACCTATATTAACTGCAATAAGCATGCATTCATGATCTATTTAAATGAATCTATGTAAAGCTTTAAGAAAAAAAAGCAGAAACCATGACTGTCAATACTACATTTAATTAAAAACCAAAACCTCATATTTCTGCACCAAGTTAGTTGATATTGGAAGCAAACAAAGTAACTTTGTTTTTGTGAAAGGTTTACCAGACAGAGCAGAATACAGGAAACATTTAGGAAATGGAAGAATTTGAGCATAAAAATCTCCCCATTTTTTTCCCTTCTCCTCCCTCTTGTGCATACAGTCCTACAGTTCCTATTGTCAAACTGAGTTGCAGAAATTCTCCCTTCAAACTGCAGATCAGTTTCTTCTGTAGAGTACCTCTTGCTCCTTTTTCATATGACAGATATTCAAAATTATTATTACTACTAACATTAGTTATTTCCCCCTCCAGTAATTTGAAATACCAGGGTAAAGTCTGACCTTGGACCTATCATATCGCCTTCTTCAAAATGCCTCCAAAACCCCCTCAAATTTCAAGAATCAAAACTAATATCCAAGTATTTCCCATTATCCCTAATGTTTGGCAGGTATCTATATTTTAGTTTAAATGAAAATCATATGACATGTATCAGCCAGAGTCAGCTAAAGTACCAAATATAGCCAAGATTCTGAGACAGCAGAGTCCGCAATCAAACAATACAGCATCTGATTCTGAGAATAATGAGAAATGATGTAACAATCATAAGATTAAATTAACAGAATTTCATAGGATGCTGCAATAAATGGAAATGGTTTTATCAGGTCTGGAAAACACTTAAACATTAAGATAAATTTAAAAACTTTGCTAAGAAATGCATTTGGGAACAGATACATGTAACTTCTTTTCAGAAGATCAGAAGTACCCAGTTTGTTTACTCACTCCTCATCTCTGTTCCACACTACCCAGTTTGTGTACCTACTGCTCATCTCCTGCCAAGTAGTTTAAACTATACGCATCTTTTTTTTTGCATGACACGATTTGCACTAGGCTGCTGGTCCAAGACTAAGATGACACAGGTAACATGCAAGATACTACACTGAATATTAAGTACACCTGTGCTCCAGAACTGAGTTACAAGGATGATGATAAATAATACACTCTTTGACTCTGAAGATGTTTTTAAGGTCACAAGCATATATGTGGGGAAAAAAAAAAAAATCACAAAATGCTTCACAGGTTTTTAATAAAAAGGTCATTGCTAAATTTATGTATTATGCTTAAAATTGTTACTTGACAAAAACAGTGATACAGTAACACCAAAACCAACTTTCTTCCATATGATGAACAAACACCTCTTCGGAGAGGCACAAAAATCTATTTGGGACTGTGACCACAATGTTGCATCACTAAATAAAAAACTTTTTTTTGCATCACTGGGGGAAGAAAAAAAAAAAAAAAAAAAAAGAGCTTAGAAATAGCCACATGTTGTCTTCCACTCAGCATTATTTTAAAATAACAACTTTCATATAGAGATCGTGACAAAAAAAATTCAAGAAATTAAGTTTAGCATAACCAGAGAGAGCTTCAGAATCTTTATGGATTCAGTCAATAAATTACTATGAAGTAACACACTAGAGCACATCAGCATTAATCACGCGCCTACTGTTCGCAAAGCAAAACTAAGTGGATTAGCTCCATTTGCCAAGCGCAGTGGTGCTAGGACATGCCCGCAGCCAGCTCGCCGGCTCTCACACTGGAACTTCTGTGGTGTCAAAGTTATAAACACAGTAAGATTTCATCTTAACTGTATCTTCATTACTGAGCAATTAAATGTGACATCAGAATGTATAAAAAAGGCACAGCTAACCCTAAGGTCTTAAAATTTCTTCTTCAGGCTCATCAAGTCGTAGCGAGCAGCCTAGTCCGACAGCACAGTTGAAAACACATATCCAAAAAAATCCCCTCCAAAAACCCACCACTTTTTTTTTAACTAGGTTTTCATCTCAGTTGACTTGAACTTTGACTTTTTTACTGAAAATTCACTTTAAAAACATAAATTCTTTGTTTTGGTTTTTGGAATTTGGTTGCTGGCATTTATCACAAGTAGTACTTCCTGGGAAGTATCTAGTCACATCTTGCAATTTTAAAAAGAGTTTACGTGATAATTCAATTTTGATGTAAAAAATGCATTAAGCCGGAAGTTCATAAACAGTAATACATAAATGAATTCAACACAGCGTCATTGGATGTTAACCACAGAAAAACAATTAGACAGCCTTACCTGTTTACATGCTTGCCGACATTCCACAGCAATAGCTAGCTCACAGCAACCTAAACCAACCCACCCGTCAGACTTCTTCAACACTCCTTTGAAAATAAGATGACAGTACATATTACAGTAGAAAGAGAAACTGTGCCATCATTTTCCCTTTCCTCCCCATGAGTCAGTTACTTTTCAAATTTCATAATCCTGTTCTCATTCAAGGAGCCTATCTACAGATTGCAATTTTATTGGAATTTATGAAGTCATTCCAAATCAACTTTAAGCAAGAAAAGAGCAACCCTGTGCCTTCATAAATTCTGAACTTGGCAATTATGAAGCACCGTCTATGCACCGAGTCTAAAGATGCTTTATGCAAACTATTTTATACATTCACTGGAAGTATCAGTTTGATAATTTATCTAATCTGAAATATAAACAACAGAAACCATCAGGAAAAAAAACCTCATTAAAACTAACAACATTACCTCCTACAGACACATCCTCTTGTTGGTTTCAATAGCATATTTTTCTATCAACTTTGTCAACACAGAATATGTTTCTTACTTTTTCTTCAAGCTTTCTGTACTGGTTTTGGTTGGGATAGAGTTGAATTTCTTCACAATAGCTGGTATGGGGCTATGTTTTGGATTTGTGAGGAAAACAGTGTTGATAACACAGGGATGTTTTAGTTACTGCTGAGCAGTGCTTACAGAGTGTCAAGGCCTTTTCTGCTTTTCATACTGACCCTCCAGCGAGTAGGCTGGGGGTGCACAAGGAGTTGGGAGAGGGGACAGAGGGGACAGCTGACCCCAACTGACCAAAAGGACATCCCAGACCATATGAAATTGTGCTCAGCAATAAAACTGGGCAGGGGGGAGGTTGGCAGGGGCTGCCGTTGCTTGGGGACTGGCTGGGCATCAGTTGGTTGATGGTGAGCAACTGTCTTCTTTTGCATAATTTGTTTTTCTTGGGTTTTTTTCCCCTTCTTTTTGTTTTTTTTTTTCTTCCTTCCATTTTTAAATTATTAGACTGTCTTTATCTCAACCTACGAGTTTTGTCACTTTTACCCTTCTGATTCTACCCCCTATCCCACTGGCGGGGGAGTGAGCGAGTGGCTGTGTGGTGCTTAGCTGCCTACCGGGGTTAAACCACGGCACTTCCTCTGTAGTTAAGCCCCCCAATAACATGGTTTCATACCCAGAATTATCTCCAATAAAAGTTTCCCATCTCCCTGTCTCTCTTTCCCCAGTTATTGCACTATTCCCATTATCCTCATTACTTACCATAAAGTTACATAGAAAAGCAAATTGCTGCCATAAGTTGTTTCGTCCTCTTAATCTATTCACAAATATAGATCGTCTGATGTTTTCAAGACATCAGAAATCAAATAAAAGAGGAATGCATTCCTGTATTTCTCACATAACTTTAAAGACAGAAATAATTAAAGGGAAGGTTTAACCTCTGCAGCTGCCCAGCAGCTGTGACAAATTTGTTATAGGGCAGGGGGTGGAATTATTTAGGAGAAATGAACCACTCATTTTTGTTATGAATATTTTAAAAATAAAGCAGTACTTTTAGGACATGCAGAAACTACATCCTTTATGTAGAAATAAAAAGTACAAAGTAAAAGAATCAACCACTTAATTTAAAAAAATGCTCTTAAGCCTAGGAGAAATACCTATTTGGAAAAGCCACATGGAATGTCCAGCTTTAAAAAAGGGAAGAGAAAAGAGCTAGGAGTGAAAACTAGTGAGCTTAAATTCGAATGCTAAGAAAATACTGGGAAAAAAAAGTCATGAAAAATCATTGCAATCCATGGAAAACAATCACCGGTAGGTATTTATCATGAACAAAATTGCCTTTAAAATACACTTTGTTGGCTTTACAAACACAGGTGGCATAGAAATTCTTACCAGTATCAGTCTTTCATGGCATTCTGATGGGCAAATTAAGAAAATACACTAATCGTAAATTCATAAAGGACAAGCAAAATCTTTAGCTAAATTAACATATTTTCACAGCAAATTAAAATATTAATTATGTTTGTTAAAATGCAAATTAACACTGTTATGCTTGACACAAGCAAGGCAGCAGGATTGCATAGCGGGTGGAAGGAGCAGAGAGGCAAAGGTGAAGGCTTTTAGTTGCAGCCTGCATTCTGTCAGTTTGAAGTGGCTGTGTACTATCTGTATGGTCCAGACCTTGTGGAAGTGCTGTAGGCCACTGATTTACAGGTCCTTCTGGAGACTGTCCACATCCTCTTTACACGTATTCAGAGTATTGGCTCACCCTTCCAATTCCAACTAGTTCAAAGCAGCTGTGAAGGCCACAAACAACTGCAAATTCAGCTCACCTTCCATAATTGGGGTATGGAATTAGTTTTTCAGAGATTGAGCATCTTTTCGAAAGTGTTAAAGAGACGGCTGTTGTGCAAATATCACTAGTTTGTAATCAATGTTCAAAAATTTGGAATTTGACGCATTGTTTTACACTAATTCCAAAAGATAATGCATGTCTACATGGAAGTCATGCACATATGTTTAACTATGTATGTACAGTTAATTGCCAAATCAACTACCCACCACAGTCTATTTTAGGCCCAGATAATGCAGCAGTTGTTTCTGCATAACTTTCATATGTGAAGCTATACGCAGACTCCTTTCAAAACAGTAACGTTTGGTAGAATATTTATTAGTAGGATTGATATCGTAAGGTATAAGCAATCTAAAAAACGTAAAAGAAATATCATGTGCAACATGAAAACAAGAGTTCCAGAAATCTCTGCTGCAATAACCAGCTATATCCAGGAAAAACACATGATAAATACAGCTGTACAGCTTTAGGGGCAATGTCACCACTGATAGTCACCAGTGAATCACCACTGAATAATCAAGCATCCGTATTTTGTGCAATACGGACCCTGTGGTTTTCAGACGTACTTTTACCGGAACTAAACTGTGCTAGAAGAATGAAGCAAGCTACAAATACATGCCAAATTAAGCATGTTGATAAGTTTCAGCCGTAGTTAGCATTTTCTTGGCAAGGGGCCCTCTCCCCAGGATATTTATGAGTAGCAGACAAGCTTGCAGAGAAAAAAATTGATGTCGCATCTTCAAAAAACATTGAACCGCAATTTTAATACAGCAACTTACAAATTAATTTTGTAGTCAAGGTAATTAAAATGCATGCATTTCTAGATGAAAATACACCTTCAGTGCACAATTAATTGACTGGAATTCATAGTTCTGGTTATTCACCAAATTAACTGATAAAGTACAATACAAATCCCTGAACTACAAAAGATCGTCTAGTTGCATAACACAGGCTCTTGTCCCACATCTCCTCCAAAAAGTTTCCAGAAGCCACATCACATTAGTGAGATGACTTACAACACACACGCGCACACACACACATTTTTCTTCCTTATTATAAACGTTTTACTGGAGTCTCCACAAGAGTATTGAAGTCAGAAATGGAGGTAAAAAGCTGCATAAACATGAAAAATTAGGAAGTCATACATTTATTTTGTGATGAGAGAAACATTCTACATTCTGAAAATATCTGAGAAATGCTGGATCACCATGATCCCTAGGAAACTGGGGAGGAAAACTAAAAGCAAGATGGAAAAAGAAGAAAGTGAAAAACAACTGGGCTTCTCATGTTCAAGAGTTGCATGTGTTAGAAGGGTGCAAGAAAGCCCAAGTCAGAATTCTGTTGTCTCTTTGAAGTCTTTTACAATCTGCTTACAGAAAATGATAAAGCTTAAAATCAGAACATAGTTATTCAAGTTGCTGGGTTTGCTCTCCGCACCCGCCCCCCAGCTGTGGGTCCCTCAATCATCTTCTGTAAGCAGTTTCTTGAACAGTATCGTGTGTGTATGGTCATAAAGAAACTTGAATTTCCCAGACAAATCCCCCAAAATAATACATGTTCTGTAGGCCTACTGGATTTAATAAACAAACATGGACAAACTAATGATACTTGCCTTCAGAAAACATGGAAAAATGATTTTGTTTTGGAGAATACTTACATTTGTGAACATCTAGTCAAGTATTTAAGGCTTACAACACTGACTTGGCAAGGACAATAAAACAGGACTTAGAGTGTTGTTTTGTGAGGATAAGCCATAAAAGAAAGTTAATAGAGGACCATCATAATGGGTTTAAGGAAGTGGAAACAAATGTGAAAAAGAATGGTAGCTCAAGTGGTGGCTATGAGAATTTTAATGTTTTAAGGTAACTATCGTGATGAAGTTACAGATAAATCAAACAATTTCTAAATTTTAACACAGATCAGTAATATCAAGTTGCTGTGGGGAAGGAATGGAAGAGGAGAAAACACAAACTATAATGAAAATACACAAAGGATATATCAAGCAGCAAATTATAAGGCAGAGTGCCAAATTATTTAGTATATATGTTGTGTTATGACATGATGCCATTGAAACCCATATGCAAAAGAGGTTTCTACCTGCATTCTTAACTAAACTGCCAGGCATGTCATACAGCTGTTAAGAAAGAAAATAACTATCAGTCATCTGTTTATCTAGTCAATATTCTGCAACTGTCCATGATAACGCCAGTGTTGGGAGGGCGGTATACAGTTTCATCATAGTGTGTGTGTGTGTGTATGTGTGTGTGTGCGCACACGCGTGTGTGTGAAAACACATTGTGGCTGCTGTACTATGAAAAATCAGAGATGCTGATCCAGTCACAGTTCAGTTTGTGGCCCTATTCTAAACTCTTATGAAATACTTTCTGTACTGAGGGCAGTCAAAGGGGAGAAAAATCAGAAAGAAAACCACAGAATCACTGAGGTTGGAAGAAACGTCTGGAGATTGTTTAGTTCAACCTCCCTGCTCAAAGCAAGGTCCAGGACCATACCCAATAAGGTTTTGAATACCTCCACAGATGGAAACTCCAAAACCTCTCTGAGCAACCTCTTCCACTGTTCAAGCATCCTTACAGTAAAAAAGTTTTTTCTTATGTTTAAATGGAAGTTACCGTTGTTCAATCTGTGCTCACTGCCTCTTGTACTGCCACTGGATACCACTGAGAAGGGCATGGCTCTATCTTCTTTACACTCTTCCATCAGATAATCATACATATTGATAAAATCCACCCCCCTCAGCTTTCTCTTCTTGACAATGGCAACCAATCCCAGCTCTCTCGGCCCGTCCTCATAGATGTTCCAGTTCCTTCATCATCTTGAAGTGGCTCTTTGCCACCTGTTCCAGTGTGTTCGTATCTTTCTTGTACTGAGACGCCCAGAACTGGACACAGTATCCCTGATGTGGTCTCATTAATGCTGAGTAGAGGGGAACGATCACCTCCCTTCAATCTGCTGGCAACACTCTCCCTAATGCAGCCTGGGTGCTGTTGGCCGCCTTTGCTACAAGGGCACGTGGCTGGATCATGTTCCACTTGCTGTCCACCAGGATTCCCAGGTATGTTTCCACAAAGCTCCTTTCCAGCTGGTCAGCCTCCTGTGTGCTGTGGAGCATGGGGCCTTCACCAGGTGCAGGACTTCGCATTTCCTTTTTTGGAACTTCATGAAGTTCCTGTCTGCCTATTTCTCCGGCTTGTCAACAGCCCTCTGAATGGCAGCACAACTATCTGGTCTAGCAACCTCTCCCCCCAGTTTTGTATCACCTGCAAATACACTGAGGGTGCACTCTGTCCCATCATTAATGAAGATGTTAAATAGGACTAGACTCAGCATCAATGCCTGGGATGCTGGCCTCCAGCTGGACTCTGTGCCACTGATCACAAACCTTTGAGCCCAGCAGGTCAGCCAGTTTTCAATCCACCTCCACTGTCCACTTATCCAGCCCATGCTTCATCAGTTTGTCTATAAGGATGCAATAAAAAAACAGTGCTGAAAGCCTTACTAAAGTTGAGATAGACAACATCCACTGCTCTCCCCTCATCTAACAAGCCAGTCGTCTCCTCATAGAGGGTTATCGGGTTGGTTAAGCACTATTTCCCCTTCATAAATCCACGCTGACTATAACCAATTACCTTCTTGTCCTTTACATGTTTGGAAATGGTTTGCAGGAAGATCTGCTCCATTACCTTCCCAGGGTTTGAGGTAAGACTGGCCAGCCTGTAGTTCCTCTGGTCCTCCTTGACCTTTTTACAGGCAGGAGTGACATTTGCTTTCTTCCAGTCCTCAGCATCCTCTCTCAATAGCCATGACCTTTCAGAGATTATTGAGAGTGACCTTGCAATGACATTAGCCAACTCCCTCAGCACTTGTAAGGGTATCCATCAGGTCCCATAGACTTGTGTTCAGTTTGCTTAAGTATTACCTAACCTGATCCTCCCTCCATCAAGTGTAAGTCTTCCTTGCTCTGGACTTTACCACTGATCTCAGGGATCTGGCATCCCTGAAGGCTCATCTTACCGGTAAAGACTGAGGCAAAGGCAGCCATGGCCTTTTTAATGTCATTTGTCACCAGGCTTCCTGCCCCATTCAGCAGCAGGCCCTTGTTTTCCTAGTCTTCCTTTTGCTGCTGATGTAGTTAAAAAAACAGGGCAGCTTTCTAGCTGTCCTTCACATTACCTCACCAGGATCAACTCCAGATAGGCTCTCACTTTTCTAACCCCATCATGCATAACTGGAGCTTGGATAAGGTGATCCTTGAAAATCAACCAGCTCTCTTGGACTCCTGTCCAGGGCCGTATCCCATGGGATTCTTCCAAGCAGATTGCCTGTGCCCTCCTGTGTTGCTCTTCAAAAGGTACCAGAGTGATTATAGTTGCCCATGAGCATCAGGGCCTGTGAACATGAGACGACTTCTACTTGTATGAAGAAGGCCTCATCTACTACTTCTTCCTGATCAGGCAGTCTGTAGCTGACACCCACATCACCCCCCATGTTGGGCTGCTCACTAGTATGTTGACATGCCCACACTGTGCCACTCATATGCCCATGTGCTATTCTCAGCTGGCTCATCATCCATCCCCAGACAGAGCTCCATGCATGCCAGTTGCCCTTTATGTGAGAGTGTAACTCCCTCTCCTCACCTTCCTGGCCTGTCCTTCCTGTACCTGTCCATCACAGCACTCCTGCTATGGGAGCCTTCCTGCTATGTCTCTGTGATCCCAATAAAATCATAACCCTGTAACTGCACATAGACTTCTGACTCCTCCTGTTTGTTCCCCATGCTGCATGCACTAGTGTAGAGGGACCTCACAGAGGCACTCAGTTGTACTGATTTCCCAGAAAGGAAATAAGAGCTTCCCCTAGAATGCTGTCCTATATACACCACACCATTAATTTACAAAATCCTACAGTGCATGGAATCACTGGAGAATACTTAATTTTAAAAGTGGCTCACATCGAAGAAGAAAACAGTAACATAATTTCCCGTGCAAGAAGAATGAAAAGTGACTGGCTTTGTGCAGGTACAAAGTTCAGGATACAAGCTCAGGATACTACAAGAAGATTTCACTTTTATCACAGGACTAAACTATGATTTACAGCACCATTGAAGAAGGGATTTTTTTCCATAAATCAGAGGATAGTAAAATCCTACCATAAAGGCACTGAAGAAGCCACACACCAGTTTAGAAAGTACAGGAAGACAATTTGGAAGTGGTTCATTAACAAAGATTTCCAATGCTTTTTCACTTGCTTACACAAACCTAACATTCAAAATAAAGTATGCATTTCTCACTTGCAGTAAAAGCATTGCCACTCATTTGTACACAGCTACTCAGCTTCAATGAAGATTAGATATCATATACAGCTGAAAATTTATCAGGTTTTAGATGGGACAGAAGCACTGTAACTCCAACAGATATTATTGGTTAAGTAAAACTAGCAAAATATAACACAGCAAATCTCTTTGCATGCACTGGCATCAACAGCTTGCCTCTGAAGTGGGGTGGGGGGCAAGTCTGAGCAGATGTCATAAAACTGTTACAGCCTCCTCTTTCCTCACTACCACTTTTTCAACCATAGCATGACAATTTCACTCAAAGTCTTTTAGAAATGACATATGATACAATAGTACTAGTTAAGTCTAATTTCATCTATTTTTGACCTCTCCTTTTAACATGAGAGTCCCGTCTTGTGATTTATGCTTTAACTTTCTAAATCCACCTATACCAAGCAGTTTGGTTCTTGATCTGAGCCTCTGCACTTCTTAAATTGTTTGTCTAGTTCTTACTGTTTCCCTGTTACTCATTTTTTTTCGAAATTATACTGCATCTAGAGCAAAGTTGCAATAACCCATTATTTTATACATCAGGCTAAGGTATACTGGAACTAAAAATAATAGAAAACCTTTAAAGGAAACAAACATATTAAAAATTTTCTAACTAGGAAAAAAAAAAGAAGTGTTAAAAAAAAGCACAGGTAACCCAGTTGAGGCTAAAGGAAACTAGTCCTTTTAGTTTATAAGGGAAGCATAATGAAAGTCGAATTATCATTAAATCTATAGGTACAGGTGGTAGACACAACATCAAAACATGCATATGGTGAAAAAGCAACACGATTCAATAGTAAACTAGTATTTCTTACCTGGCAAAGAAGAATTTATGCAACCCCACACTTCTCCCTGAAAAGTAAAATGCAATTAAGCAAAAGTAAGTCTACAGGATAAGAGTTTCTAGCAGACACAAACCAGCATTTCCAGCATTTTCAGCATTTTTGCCCTGGGTTTTAAATATCCTATTGGAAGAATTCTTATGTTTAAAACATCTTTTGAAGAAGTGCTATGTGCTACATGTTGAGTATCACTTGGCTTTGTCAGGAAGGCTGCTATCTACAGAGTATGGAACCAGCAGCAGTTATTTTTGTAGGTGCAGAACGTGCTGTGATTACCTGGAATATGCTAGCTAGTCAACTTCCTCGACCAGTGTTTAGAGAACTAAGTAGCAACTATTTAGACAAAGAAAAAGATTTATCTAGGACCAAGATCTGTGGAGAAGCTTATTGCCCTAGCACTCCTTTCCACCACCTTAAAAAACCCCCAAACAACACATATAACTACACACAAAACAAAAGAAAGAGGTTTTAAGGTACCCCAGAGAACAGAGAAATGTAGCTTCACAGAAAGACAGATACATGGAAGAAAGAGTTGTATAATTGAAGTTTACTAACATGGAAAGTTACAATAGGGGTCTGTTGGGTTCACCCCAACTACAAAGCACTTCTGGTCCTAAGCACAGGTTCTGCTAAATGACCAAGTGCCTGATGGTATTAGGCAGAATAATTCTGTAAATTTTTTTTTTGTTTGTTTTCAGAAAAAACAAGGTGAAGAGCTTACCAAAGAGTTGCTATCCCTATCTCTCCCATTACTGCTATTACCAAGACTACTGGCCAAGCTGACTATGGGGGATTCTTTACACTGGGGATAGTATAAAAGAAATCTCAGGTCAGACACCAGTCTGCCACAGGTAGTGAAGTTACCCACCCAATAAGTTACAAATGTCCTGGAAGAAGGAGGTTCAGGCAGCAGAGGAAGAATTCCATCTAAGATAGGAATTTTAGTTCAACGGTCAGAAACAAGTACATATTGCAATTACAGCGGGTGCACTGTGTTAGAAGCCTGAAGAATTAAGAACTATGAGAATTGCTATACGTTGTATGCTAGATGTTTAACATCCTACAACTGGAGTCTTAGAACACTTAGACAACATGATCACAGTATAGTATTTAAAATGACAAGAGTACAGAAAAGCCTTGAAGGATTAGCTTTTAGTATTTTAGTACAATGTTATTGAATTCAATATTTTTTAAGCAAGCACTAGGAAAACCTTAATTAGATGAAATCAGAGGAAAATTCTGCAGAGAGTAAGAAGGCAAGTGACAAGTCTTAAGGGGTGTATTTGGTTTATGTGGCAAGGTTTTTGTAGCGGAGGGGTCTGCAGGCATGGCTTCTGTGAGAAGATGCCAGAAGCTTCCCCCATGTCCAAGAGAGCCAGTTCCAGCCAGCTCCAAGATGGACCGGCCGCTGGCCAAGGCCCAGCCAATCAGCGACGGTGCTAGCACCCCTGTGATAACATATTTAAGAAAGGGTAAAAACTGCTGTGCAACAGCAGGGAGAGAAGAGTGAGAATATGTGAGAGAGACAAGCTGCAGACACCAAGGTCAGCAAAGAAGGAGGGGGAGGAGGTGCTCCAGGTGCCAGAGGAGAGATTCCCCTGCAGCCTGTGGTGAACCCCACACTGCAGCAGCTGGATGTGCCCTAAAGGAAGCTGCAGCCCGTGGAGAGCCCTGTGGCCCTGTGGAGAGCAGCCCCCACTGGAGCAGGTTTTCTGGCAGGACCTGGGACCCCATGAAGAGGAGCCCACACTGGAGCAGGTTTCCTGGCAGGACTTGTGGCCCCGCAGGAGACCCACGCTGGAGCAGTCTGTTCCTGAAGGACTGCATCCCGTGGAAAGGACATACGTTGGAGCAGTTAGTCTAGAACTGCAGTGCATGGGAAGGACCCACATTGGAAAAGTTCATGGAGGACTGTCTCTTGTGGGAGGGACCCCATGCTGGAGCAGGGGAAGAGCACAAGAAGGAAGGAGTGGCAGAGACAACGTGCAATGAACTGACTGCAACCCCCATTCCCTGTCTCCCTGCGCCGCTCGGGGGGAGGAGGTAGAGAATTCGGGAGTAAAGTTAAGCCCCGGAAGAAGGCAGGGGTGGGAGGAAGGTGTTTTTAGATTTGTTCTCATTTCTCATTATCCTACTCTGACCTGTTGATTGGCAATAAATTAAATTAATTTCCCTGAGTTGAGTCTGTTTTGCCCACGACAGTAGCTGGTGAGTGATCCCTCCCTGTCCTTATCTCAACCCACAAGCCTTTCATCATATTTTCTCTCCCCTGTCCAGTGAGGAGGGGGAGTGATAAGAGTGGCTTGGTGGGTGTTGAACACATTCTTTAAGACAAAACGAAAAGTTCAATTCAACCACACTGAAACAGCAACCCATATTGTCATGCAATGATTCTGTCATCACAGAAATTAATGACTTTCTAAAGTTGCAATGGATCCTAATGATCTAAAACTGCCCTCCTCTGTATTTGTGGGAGTTTCCCACTTAGATAACAGTCAAAGTCAGCTCAACAGAAAAGGGTAAAAAGCTGCTACTTCTACTAGTTCCACCCCATTGATTCAGGTGACTTCCTTTATTTCACGAGAAGGTTAACAGTTGGACTCGATGATCTTAAGGGTCTTTTCCAAGCTAAATGACTCTATGATTCTAAGATAAAATTGCCTCTTGTGTTGGCAGTTACTGTATTACTTAATAGCAGGCAATACCCTTTCTATCATATTACCTGAAGGAATGTAGACAACATAATGTCTGTAACCAGTGCTCCAGAAAATAGACCATCTGATTAAATTCATAACCTATCCGCTCATCTGTGGAATGTCACTAGAACACACCTCTCCAATAAAGACAAGTGGTACCTGAAAACAGCAAATATGGTATTAAGTTGAACTGTTAACTATTTTATATCCAGATGTCTTTTTAAAAGTTTATAAATATTACCAGTTCAGCACTATCAATTTAAGACACACACTTGACAATAAACTTGCCATCTTTATAAAAGATGGTAATTAGAACTTAAAAAAAATCATTGTGTCAATCGTTTTCCTCCTTTTAGACACTCTCCAATCCTGTCTTCTAAAAATGCACTCCTCTACTATACAGATAGATCCTACTCTTCCTAGCAGGGAATAGAAGATAAAGAAAACCAGTACCAAAACAAATACTATTCACCACTTTGATATGTTTTCATGCCACAGGTTTTACTCATACCATCAGCTGTCTATAACTTTCCAAGACCTCAGAGCTGATGATACACACAAACAAAACACTGAAAAAACATACTTTTGACACACAGGAAGAAAGGATCTATAAGCAAACACACTCTCGCAAAGTTGCTTATAAAATGTTGTTCTCAGATTTACTACTTCTACACATTGGCCCATTTGAGCTGAGTACACGTTTCAGGCTAGCCTGAAACAGTATTGATATTGTTTAGAAGTAACAAAAATTACAAGAAGAAAGCTGACCTTTCTGACAGCAAATGTATTGAGATATTCTAAGTTGCCAAGAGATAAGACTCCAGAATTTACAATCTGAATGATAGTGCTTATCTCTTCCCTGATTAGATCATCTCTAAGACAGAGAACAGATTACATTCTTCATTTTTTTAGTCATACGCTAAAGAACTTTTAGGAAACCATAATCTTAGTTAGTCAATAAAAGTATTACTTCAGTTTGTCAGATATGGCCGTAAACCACTCAGAGCAGCTTTGAGGGTCTCCTTGCCTTAGCCCAATCAAGACCTCACAGCTTTTTCCCATACACAGGCTGGAACACATGATCTAATTTAAATCGCTGCCATCAACATCCAAGTGACAATCACCCAGCATGATTTTTTACAACATAGGTCAGATTTGCATTGCATTTCATAGCTTACACAACCAGGACACCTAGCAAAACTGTCAAGTCCCCTCTTATTCCAAGTAGCGTAATACATGACGGCTTTACCAAAAAAAAAAAAAAAAAAATCCTACTTTGAGGATCAAATCTCATTATAAGAATTTTTCTGCCCTTCATAACAAGGAAGAAAAAGCTTGAAGATACACACACATGTTCTATCAGCTCAAAACTCAGCAAGTTAATAAAATACAAGTAATTTTAAAACCTTATTTTTGCAAGCAAAACTTTGTTAATATAAGATTAGTTGCTTTGTTTTCTTTAATTAAAAAGTAGCAAGTCTTACCATTGATTCTGGGCAATACTCAGGTGCTCGCTGCAGTAAGTGCTTCAAACGGGAATCACTCTTAGAAGACAAAATCTGTTAGAAACAAAACACAGCTTAAAACATACAGAATGTAACTACACATTGAATACTTTTTTCAATTGATTTCATCGTTTTTAGTTTCACTGCTATCTACCCTTAGACAACTTTGGCTAACAATTAATATGTAAACAATGCAAAGTTAAGATTTTCTTTTATAGATCTATAGTCTTCCAAATATCTTTTTACAAAGAAGGATTTCTTGTATTTAGAAGTGAATAAGAATTTCCTCCTCAAACACTTCAATCAAAAAGTTTCTATTGAATAGGCAGTGTGAAAAACATAGAGGATTTCTGCCCCACATATCAAAATATTATACAACTTTATTTACTTAATTAACCTTCTGCTACAGGTTACATGACCTCAGGCAACTAAACTCTTTCAAAAAAAAACCCCTGAAACAAGTAATTTTTGTGGAACAAAGATGAACAAAACCTAGATTACTTAAAGAGACTATCAAAACTAACAGGGGAATGAATACTATCCACAGCAGAGCAAGATCAAGTTAAGCACCACCTAAGCAAACTGAACTGGTGGAACATGGATGGGACGGGTGGGCTACAAGGTGGGCAGCAAACTGCCTCGACAGTAGGGCTCAAAGACTAGCAGTCAGCAGTTCAGTGTCTAAGTGATGGCCACATAGAAGTGGTACAATACAGGAGTCAAACCAATACTGTTAATGGCTTTACTAGCAAGCCAGACAATGGGACAGAAAAAATCCTCAGCAGGTAGGCAGATGAGCCTAAACTGGGAGCTGTCATCAATATACTGGAGGGTGGAGCTGCCACTCAGATGCATTTCAACAGGCTGTAGCAATGGGCTGACAGGAAACTCAAGCAGTTCAACAAAGGCAAACAGAGAATCTTGCAGCTGAAATGGAATAACCCCATGCAACAGGACAGGCTGGGTGCTCACCAGCTAGAAAGCAGCTTTGCAGAAAAGGGTGCTGGGGCCTGGTGGATGACAAGTTGAACATGGGTCAGCAGTGCACTGATGCACTACTGAAAGCTAACAGCATGCTGCACGTCATTAACAACAGCGGTGCCAGCAGGTTAAAGGAAGATGACCATTCTCTTCTATTAGGCACTGATGAGGCCACATCTGTAATACCAAACCCAGTTTTGTGCCACCCCTGTGCAAGGAACATTATTGATGAACTTCAGAGAGTCCAGTAGAAGGCCACAAAGGATGCTGGACTTTATGACATACCAAGGCCAAGGTAAAAGAATCTGTTCAAACCGAAGAAGGGTTAAGAGGGAGTAGGGGGGATTTAAATTCCTGTCTTCCAGTACCTGAAGATGGATTATAGAAAAGGCAAGTCAGACTGTTCTCAGAGCTGCACAGTGGAAGGATGAGCTGCAAAAGTAACAAGTTGCAGCAAGAGAAATTCTGACTGGATGCAAAGGAAAAAAAGTCTTCACCATGAGAACAGTTAAGTGCTGGAACAGATTCCCCAGAGAGGCTGTGGAAAGCCCATCCTTGAGGATATTCAAAACTTGACTAACAAGATCCTGAGCAATCTGATTTAATTTTGAAGCTAGCACCTCTCTGAGCAGGAGGTTAGACAAAATGACTCTTCCAACTTAAATTATTTTGCATAGCTATACTTGGGAAGAAATCTTACCTTACCTTATTGACTTTCATACACAATTCTGAATCAATGTAAATTTATCTTTTTTTCCCAGGTGTTTTTCAGACCATTTTGTAGTGTTGCTCATCTCATTTCCTTACAACAGTAGCAATATTTTAACAGTTCATTACAAGGTGCCTTTACCTCACCAATCTTTTTGGTGTTGTTTTTTTTTTTTTTTTTAAAGTTTCATGGAAGTGTTAACGTAGGTTGAGCTCTCAGCACATTTTAAATTGTTTTCTGGTCCCACATTAATCATGTTTTTAGTTCTTGTTCCTTTAGCAGTCCAATTAAGTAAAACACTTATAAATTAAAACAAGAAACTGGGCAACAAAAGGGATGGAAACAGACCTATTAATGTGGGATATGAAACTGGAAATTACAGGAATAACTGAAACATGGATGCATTTCAGATCTTTCAGAGGGAGAAATACATTACAGTTCTATTCTAAATTTGCAACATGATAAACTCATAGAGAGAAAAACAAGAGAACAATAGTACTGGTTTCCGAAATGAGAGCAAGAAAAGAACTGCAGTAGTATTTGGGGTCTTCTGGGGTCATAGAATAATAAAATAATTCAGGTTGGAAGGGATCTCGGAAGATAATCTATTTCAACCTCCTGCTCAAAGCAGGGTCAACTACGAGGCCAGACCATGTTGCTCAGGGTTTTACCCAGTCAGGTTGTGAAAACCTCTGAGGATGGAGAATGCACAGCCTCTGTGTCTTCATGGTGGAAAAGTTCCTTCTTACAACTAGCTGGAACCCTCTAGTTTCAGTTTATGACTGCTCTCACTTGTTCTCCCACTATGTACCACTGTGAAAAGCCTGCCTCTGTCTTCTGAGCAATCTTATTACAGGTACTGGAAGGCCACTCTGAGGTGTTCCTTCTTCCCCAGGCTAAAGGCAGCTCCCTCACCGTCACCAGAGAGGGCATGTGCTCCAGCCCCCGATCACCTTGGTGACTCTCTGCTAACTCGTCCCAGTTAACTGATGTCTTTCTTGTAATGGGGGGGGGGGGGCGAAACTGGACACAGTATTCAAGATGTGGTCAGCAAGTGCTGACTAAATGGGGAAAATAATTTCTCTAGACCTACTGGCTATGCTCTTGATAATAAAGCCCAGGACGCCTTCTTTATTGCTGGGGTACACTGCTGGCTCATATTCAGCTTGCTGTCTGTATACAAGTACCCCTGGGTCCTTTTTCAGCAAATCCGCTCCCTAGAGAATCAATCTCCAACTCATATTGTTGCAAGTGATTCTTTCTTCCCAGGTGCAGGACTTTGCATTTGTCCTTGCTGAATTTCATAAAGTTCCTGTTGGCCTGTTCCTCCAGCTTGACTAGGTATATGTGAACAATACCCCTTCACTTGAACATTATTGACTGTCTTGACCAATTCCTTCCATCTGTCCAGGTCCCTCTGGATGACAGTCCTGCCATTACAATTATCAACTGTTCCTTCCAGCTTGGTATTGCCTGAAAACTCAACAAGAGTGGAATCTGCCACCTCTTCCAGGTCATTAATAAAGGTGTTAAACAGGACAGGTCCCAGGACAGACCCCTTTGGTATTCCACTTCTTATTAGCCTGCAGGCAGAGAAGGACCCACTAACCTCTATCTCAGCCTGATTACCAAACCGATTTTTTTACTCATCTGCTTGTCCATCCATCAAAACCATATTATCCTAAAATGGATACAAAAATACTGAGGGAGACAGCATTGGAAGTCTTGCTAAAGTCAACACAAATGACATCCACGCCTTTCCGCTCATCCAGAAATTCAGCCTTGTTATCAAAGGCAATCAGGTTTGTCAGGCATAATTTACCCCTCACATGCTCAAAAATGTGTTCTGAGAGGACTCTGTCCATGATTTTCCCAGGGATTTCAGAGATGACGACTAGTCTGTAGTTTGCTGGATTGAGAACTGTCCTTTGGGATTTTTTTTTTTTTTGTTTGAAGATGGGTACATTATTTGTCCTTCTCCAATCATTGGGGACCTCCCCCAAGTTCCACAACCTTTCAAAGATGACAGAGAGTAACCTTGCAGTGACACCAGCCAGTTCTCTCGGCACCCTGAGATGCAGTCCATCTAGTCCCATGGACTTGTATGGGTCAAATTTTCTCAAGTAATTCCTGACTCAACCATCACCTGTTACTGGTAGTACTCCTCCTTGAACCCCATCTCTATGCACAGAGGACTGGGAGACGTTGTTAACAAAGACTCAGGAAAGAAGGCATTCAGTACCTCTGCCTTATCTGTGTTTGCTGACACTAAATCACAGTGCTGCATTGAGCAACAGCTGCACATTTTTCCTTCTTCAGCCTTTACCTACTGCCATAGCATGTCGTGTTGCCCTTAATACCCTCTGCAAGTCTCAACTCCAGTTCAGCTTGGTCTTTCCCAATATAACCTTACGTGCCTTGGCATACGTTCTAAATTCCTCTTTTACAACCTTTCCCTGCTTCCACCTTCGCTATACTGCCTTTCTGCATTGAAGCTTGTTCCTGACTTCTCTGTTTAGCCAAGCCAGCCTCTTGAAACATTAAAGTGTTTTCCTGAGGACTGGGATGGACTGTTCTTATGCTTGGAGGAGGATCTGTATACAGATCTCTGGAGTAGTACAGAGATGAATGCTGCCAGGAACCTTATAATTGTGAAACTTCCCGGAAATAAACTTAGGAAAAAAAAGTCAATTAAAAAAACACAGGCCCACTTATTCCTTGCTACAGTATCTGACAGACTTATCAAATAATCGTGAAAAGGAGATGATACTGAAACTAAGCTTGGAATAATACTTACTAAGAATGCAAAATAATTAAAAGTTTGAATCATGTTAGTTGACAAACAAATCTGTAATCCAAGTTTTCTTTTCCAAAGGGCTCACTTAAAGTAGCAGAATTACTAGTTAGCAGAATTCCTTACTCTTAATCAAGCCTTTTCCCTTAACTGGCAGAAGCAAGGAGAACACCACCAGGTCTCCTGTGCCCTTCACCCTAGCCCCTCAGCTGTAGTTACCTTTTACCAATGCAAGGCCTCCCTCAATAGTATGACCGGTGTCCATACGCATGAGCAGTAAATGGGTAATAGTCCAAGGGTCAAAAAACCCTTGCAATTTCTGCAACATACTACATCTGAGCCCCTAAAAACCAAACCATCTTAGACAGCAAGTGTCATCTGCAGATAAGTGCTTCCATCCCCTGCAAAGGGAGTCTTTCTCCTGGTGACACTGCTTATAACCAGTTGATTAAGCCAAGATGGCTCCCTGATGGAGCTTGTTCCTCCTCATCTGTTCTAAGGCCTCAAATCTATTCTGTAAGTGCATATCCAAAGACAGGCCAAGAAACTTCTTCCTGCTGTCAGGAGTCACAAATTTTCAGTCTCCACTAAGCATAGCCTCTGGCCATCCTTCTTTCCATGCAATGCATAGTTCAGGCTATTGCCCTTGCAGGTTCTCCATGAAGAGCCTGTCTAGCTCCCATTTACACTAAAGCAATGCTTCTATCCTCAGCTTCTTTATCTGACAGTTCAGGAAGCTGACGAGAGCATGACTCCCATAGTTTAAGTGCCATTGACTCAAGGAGAGACACCATCCTTTCCCTGCAGCCCAAGATGGGGATGGACACATTCTTCCTCAAGAGCTCCCTCTGGGTCAAGACCTCCAACATGTCATGAGTGGTTGGCCCAGTCAGTGCCAGAGACTGTCCTGCTGGACACAACAGGTGCACGCAGTCTCAAGCAGTACATCCTGCTGGCCCTCTCCACAAGAAACATCTGTGTTAACACCCAAATTTCTGTCTGTGCACCTTGGTTGCTGGCATTCCCTAAGCATTAGTTAAATACAAATATGAGGCACAAGTCTGCTCTCCTTCCCTGCTGTCCTTGGCAAGCAACTTCAATGTTTTATGGCTCAAACTACCAAGTCTAGGAGGAAAACTTTTTTTTTATTATTATTAAATAAATTATCATGTTAGTATGGTACAGCGTGGTGGTACAGACAAGGCAACAAGTGCATTGCAAATATTTTAGAAAAGGTGTTTGGAAAGACAGAAAAAGGCCAATCATTCAGCCAACTCTGTTGCCTTACAGTCACCTCCCATGTAAACCTTCATCCTACAAATTTTATGTTTAAGCCAAGGGGATAAGTATCAGATAACACATTCCAAAATGGATTCAACAAAGACAAAGCATTTGAATTGTGCTGTACAAAATGGTTAAGTTACAGAACATGAAAATCAGTAGAAAAATAGTAGACAGCCTCTTCAGGCAGTTTGTTGGTCTATATCAAAGGGTCATTCAGAAAATGCTACCAGCCTGATGTGAAGCAACTAAGACAGCTCCTTATAGGAGAATTTGAGGGGCGCCAGTCTTGCTTTAGACTTGTTATAGACCTTTCACCACAAAGACTCTGGATATGCTGATTATCTGAGTAGAGAGAGATCATCCAGATGAGGTAAGATCAGAGTATCTCTCAAAAACCACAGAAAACCCTACACAATAATTAGAACCGGTATAACACAAATGGAATGAAATTTGACAGTAAAAAGCTCAAGGCCTTTCATGAAGGGCTAAGAGGAATTCACATGATAAACTGGGAACTTCAAACCAAAGGAACAGAAGAAAGAATTGGACAGGTTGTTCCAAATGCCCTCTCAATGCAGCTACTAAACCTGCCAATTAAATTTGTTTATATACAGGAACAGATATCCTTCCCTAATGTACACATAGGTTTTAACACAATTTTTAAGACTGAGTGCTATATTTTTGTTTATAATACCACGTACAGTTTTGCTTACCTGTATTCAAAGAGATAAACATGCTGGAAGAGCTGCAAGAATAATTATAGGAATTGAGAGAATATGTTATGCAAAGAGACGGCCAGACTTTTCTTTATTTGGCCTAACAATAGGAAAGCTGAAAGGTGATTTGGTTGCATTCTATAAATATATCAGGGAGGGAGAAGTGCAATTTAAACTAAAAGTTTTGTTAGTTCATACAATCACAGATAAATATAAACTTAATCATAACCAGGTTTAGTGCTTGAATAGCCCCAAAGGGGGTAATGAAGACAAGAAAAGGGGGCAGGTATGATGTAAGGACACAATTTTAATAGAAAAATTGTGCATATGTGTATGTAAGCTTTACTGATGTAAAATTTTTATGTGTGTAAATTTATATAAATACACACATACAAAGCTGTACGACATACTATCCAAAGGTACAAATCTAAACATAAGTTGTGGAAAAATATTTTCCAAGCTTGAATTTAGCACAAACAGCTCTTTGTTATTACCTTATGAACAGAGTAAGTAAGCAGATTTTTGCTGGATTCACAAAGCCACATATCATAATAAGTATGTCAGATGCTTAGCTAAGAAATGAGAACTGTCAGGAAGAAAGAACAGTACCAACATCTTGTTCTTCATTTTAAATTCCCCAAAACTTGGAAACACACAAGATCCAGAAATTGGGTAAAATACCTTCACCCCTCCCATTTCCTAACATGCTTATCACTTCTCGACCAAATCCTGACCACAGATTTATATCTCTATTTCTTCTCAATTTCAGCAGAACCTGTTTTCCGCTATGAAAGGAAAGAGGACTACAGTTTTATACCTTTAAGTTCTCATTTAAATAACAATAACATTACATCTCATGATTCACACACAGTATTCACACAGAAAAATCATTTGTTTATAACCCTAATCTTGCTACATCATTGTCTAAAGGCATGATTTTAACTCTGAGGGATAAACCAAATTTAAAACAAGCTTACCTGTTCACAGACATCACGGCACATTAAGTTGTCCTTTGCATGGTAACAACAAGACAAGCCTGTGGAAAAGCAGGGGGAGGGAAAAAGATACTTAAAACACTTGAAGCACTTTAACTATCACTTCTGAACAGAAGCGCCCACTTGATGGCCTATCAGGATGATTTGTCTGGTCTACAGATGACCATGAGAAATTTTCCTTCCCAGAAGGCAAAAAAGAACATGAGAAATTTTTGTTCCAAAGTTGACACCGATCCGTGCATCGAGTCTCACAGAATTACCCCTGAACACTCACTGCCACCAAAAGGAGACCTCACTCCCCTTCCTTCTGCTTCTAGCCACATTTCTGCTGCTTAATTTGCACTAGCTTGGCACCTGCCACATTCCTTCATGAGACAATTGAATTTATTATCCCAGGGGAAATAAAAAAAAAAAACCAACAAAACCCACCCGAATAGAATAATAAAAAGTAAACAAAAAACCCACCAAAAAACGCCATAGAGACTATACGCCTTTGTAAATGGAATCATCTCACAGAATCTGAAAAGTGCAAGAACCAGTTAGGAACAGGTGGAAAAAGGAAATCGGAGCAGGAACCCCTTTTTACACAGTGGTGAACACAGCTGCTCATTGAATTCTAGCTTCTTAAAAACTTGGAACAAAACTGTGAATTGTTTCACTAGTGATGGATGATTAAGAGTGGTTTTGCCAGACTAGATGGAAGTCACCGAGCAAAACCAGACATGAACACATCAACAGGAAAACAAGTGAGAAGTGAAGCACTGAGAAGTCATGAAACACCAAAGTTTAAAGCAGCATTTTTAACATTATACTTTGCCGTGCTTTGTTCCCCCTACCATCCAAATATTTCCTTCATTCAGAGTTAAGCTTGGCCAATATAAAATGAATTGCACAACTCCTTGATACTCATTTTCATCCTCACTGCCCAGTGTTTGGAACAGTGTATTAGAAAACAGACAGACAGAGGTTTCCTTCAAAGCTTTTACTTCCACGCGCATCCTCACACACAGGACAGTTTAATGATTACGGATTTCTGCTTAACTGTATCTGAACTACACCACACCGATACAACAAAAAAGCAATACTGTACAATGACACCGCACATATAAAATTGTATTTCACGATACCTAGTTACCAAATAGATTTTGACCAAACCAATTAGAGGGATCTTGGGCATAAATTCCCTGATCATTTCACAGCCTACAAGTATTTCCATCTGAAAGCTTATAGCTGTTACAAGAAGATAACCAACTTAAAACGCAAGAGAATCCACCACCACCAAACCCAAAATTCTCCAATATTGAAATGACATTAAAAAAGAAAAGAAAATTTCAGCCTGAAAATGTTGAGGAACTGGGGACGGGGGGGGGGGGGGGGTGAAAAAAAAAAAAAAAAAAAAAAAAAATGTGCGCCGAAAAAGGGGGGGGGGGGGGGGGGGGGGGGGGGGGGAGGGATATCACCGAAAAGGTTGTCTGAAACAGTCACAATTTAAAATGACTACTACAGGATTGAGCTATATTTTAATGCAGAAATCTATCATTCCTGAAGAGGAAAGAAGAGAAACCAAAGTAGGATGTGTAACTGGTGAATGTTTTAATTAATAATTAGAAACAATACAGCAAAATGCCTGTAATAAATGAGGACAGCACCAAAACCCTGCTTAAAACACGATGAAATGAAGGAATGAAATTGTAAAATTGACTTTAATGTTTTTGGCCAATTTTCTACCATCGCAGAAAAGGATTGAGGTATGACACAGATGGCTTAAAAATCTTTCTGATTTGAGGGCTACACATGGGATCTTGCAGGTTTTCCTGCACTATGTTCAGTAAGCTGGTCTGTGCCAAAAATCAACTTCATAATTAGCAGGCTCCATCATGTTCAAACTTCAATTATTATTTCATTTAACTGAAAAGCTTTGCTTTACACTTTCTCAGTCCTGTTATAAAGTCATGGTATTAGAAATATATAACAATAAATAACATTAACTTTGAAGAACAGACAGTTTTTCTTAAGGCAAGAGTTGCACTTGTTTTCAGAAATGTTTCTTAATTTCAGTGCTATGCAATCAGACTGCAAGCACATTAACACAGTGCTGGAGAAAACATTCAGGTTCACAATGAAAAGATATCCAGCGAATTAAGAGTCATAAGTAAAAAAATCCAACCTACTTAAACATAGGCTTTACTTACAAACAGAAATACTGGCTACTCAATCACATTTTTGCTGTTTTGTTTCACCGTAAGTCCCAGAAATTTTTCATTATATAAATTTTTATTGAGAGTAACTGCTACATTTAAGAGACCCAAGAATTCAGAGTTCCCAACTTATAAAGAGAATTTACATTGGCTTAGGTGACAATGCATACGTTTAACTGCATGTGTCACTACGATATTATTTCATTAATATCTTAGGCAACATTTTATTAAATGCTCCTTCACATAGATTATTTAATACGCTGTGGCCTTTTATCCATTAGTTTTCAGTGGCTCTCAACCCTTCTGTGATGAACTAACACACATCCAGGATAGTTCTCCTTTTCAATCACTTCCACTGCTGAGTTTCGAGTCTTATCAATTATACCAAAGAGTATAACAGTGAAGTAACAATATACTAAACTTTATGGTTGTTTAATTCCTTTTATACATAATCCTAATCACTTGATGGTAACTTGAATTAGCAGCAAATTAAACTGTCCCAGAGTGATCTTTAGTGCTTAAGTCAGAAATGGAAGTTATTAACAATATCCATTCCAAACACGATTCCTCAGTTGTCTTTCAGTTAACCTCTTCTGAAATGTCTTATGACATCTCTTTCAGTCAGTCCCTTACTTTTTAATTCCCACTTTCTCTGGTTTTACTAAAAAATTTCCAGGTTTCATTCTAAAATTGTATTAGTGTCCAACTATGAAATATCTACACTTCCTTCTTTGATAAGATCTGCTATCTCAGCAACGTGAGTAGGTTTATCAAGGGAAAGTCGGGCTAGAGTACGTCATATTTCATTCCACTAGCTTTTTACTGCCTTCTTCCTAAAACTATGCCTCACTAGAAATCAGAACTATAGAACAACAATGAAATGCCCATAAATGCCTCAGTGATTGCAGTCTTCTGCTTTCAAGTATTACATATTTTGTATTTTCCGTTCTTGTGACAGCATTATCAACGTGCTCTATTTATTAAAAACTATTGTGCTTGTGCTGCCTTCTTTTTTTGGTCCTGTCAAGAAGCTACCTGCTATCACAACTTTAATGCAGGAAACTATTTTACCATTATCTTTCTCTCTATTAAACGTTTTGCCTTCTCTTTTTAAAAAAATCAATACCTTGCTCAACACCCTTCTTCTTGTTGAAAACGTTAGCAAAACCATAAGGAATACAAGCCCTGGAATACAAGGGCTGTTCTGAGATTTCATACGTCGGTCTGGAAGTCAGGTTTTACCCACCTGGGGCAAGACACCAGCTCTTCTCCATTTCAAACCATAATCTTCGGAACTTACCTGCTGCCAGCTTGACAGGCAAAGCCACAAATCCCAGCCCCGAGCCGCGTAACCCGGTGGGGTAAAAGAAGGGGTCAATCCCCATCACACTGCCAGGCGGGATGTGGGAAAGACGGCCGTGCCCCTGCACCCCGCTCCTCGCTACCTCAGCTACTGACGCCCCCTCTCTCCGGTTGCCGGCCTTCGCACCAGGGTGTCAGGCGGGCGCTTTCCACGGGCAGGCCGGACACCGAGACAGCAGCAGCGGGAAGGGGACCGACACCAGGAAGGCGACGC